TAAGGAATTCTTTGTCTAGTGGGTTAGGAGGAGTGATGGGAACCGGTGGTCTCTTTTGGTATGAGTATTTTGAGGTATTTCCAAACTCTTCATGAAATTCATCCTTGAAATATGGAAATTCTAAAGATTGGAAACCTTCCTGTGGAGTTTCTTGTTCGAGTGAGGGTCTCTGAATGGGAATTATGGGTTCGGCCTTCGCCGAAGAGACTTCCTCATGGCTTGACTCAGGCTCTACATGGAGGGGTTCTAAGGGAGTGTTCTCTAGAATGTGGTCTAATAATGCTTCTCCTTCCACTATGGTTTTATGGTTGAACGAACCTCTGGTAGCGATATCAAGCTGTAGGGTAGATTCCTTGCTTAGACCTAACAAAAAATGATGTAACAACACATGGTTTGGTATGGACAAGTCTGGGCTAGAGTGTGCTAGGAGTGAAAATCTAGCCCAGGCTGCACCTATGGTTTCCTTCTCTTTTTGTTGGAAATTGAGAATCTCCTTACATAGGGAAGCGATTCGAGATATAGGGAAGAACGCGAGATAGAATCTATTCCTCATTTTTTCCCAATCTCCTTTTACCTTCTCTACGTTATGGGCGTACCATTGTTTTGCCCTCTCATCAAGAGAGAAGGGAAACAACTTCCACCAAAGAGTTTCATGTCACATGCCCGAAATGGTTAGGCATGCACAGAGCTGCTCAAATTCCCATAGGTGATGCTATGGGTTTTCATGATCTAACCCTGAGAAGGTTTGTTCCTGAACCGTGGCCATAAAGCCAGGGTGGAGTTCATAGCTAGAAGCTATGCTTGGCTTTGAGGATTGTGGTGGCTCTAAGAACTCACCCTTGGGAGTAGAAAGTTGATGAATAGTAGGTTGCTCCATTAGAAAAGAGTAAAAAGAAAAGAAAGGTAAAAACAAAGGATCCACGAGCAAACTAGGTTCGGAGACTAAAACGACAATCGTTCCACGGCAATGGCGCCAGAAATGCTTGTTGGTATTTCTTAGCATAAGCGAAAGAATCCGCAAGCGCACAGATATACCATTGTAGCACTTCACCCAGAAGTATTTAGGGTATCATATTTTCCCAAACGAACGGATGTGTAAAGCCTCTTAGCTAGTTCGCCCAAGATAACAGAAGAAGGATAACTCAGGTAGTGAGGTTTTTCTAAAGATAGGGATCCTAAGTTAAGATAATTTTGCCACTACAGACTTGCTTCGGGCACCGGAGCATACCTGGTCTGCCAGGAGATCCTAGCCTACAGCTCTACGCTGAACCCGAACGTGGGGGATTACAAGGGATAGACAGAGCTGTCACCACCTGCGCCTACCCCTCAACCATGGGGAACGAGGCAAACGAAGGTAGCCTCAAGCCTAGACACCACGTCTATGCTATCGACTACTACTCTAGCACACATGCAAGGGTTTTCTGTCTTTATTAGGGCCCTTCTACTAGAGTATCTATCATGAGGGCGGATGATGAACCCTCAAGAAAATTGTGATCAAAGATAACTTTTCTTAAGAACTCAACACCAAAGATAAACATGAACCTTATACTTCAAGTAGTATTCAGTACATTGAGGTACAAGTGTAGAGGGAGCCGACAACCCCGGCACTCCATCCACTCGATGTACTAGGGTCACCAAGTACAAGAAGTAGAGGTAGCCAACACTCCGGTACTCCTCTAACTTGTAGCTCACTCACTCCCTATTCTAATTCTAGCTAAAGCCTAGATAGGAATGCAGTTCTTCTTCTCTCTTGCTCTCTTGTGTGTTGATGATGAAATGAGGAGCACCTCCCTCCCTTTTATAGTGAGTTGAGGTCAGTTTGCTTAAGTAATTTAGGAAAGCCCCACCGCAACCGACCTCCCCAGCCATTAATGCACCGCCTCGGCGAAGGTGGGCCTGAGGGGTGCTAGTGGCGGTGCGGCCACACCCTAGCCGGGCCACCTTGGCACCGCCTTCGCCAAGTGATCTGCTTGATGGTCCTAGATCATAGCCATGTAGGTGTTCAGTCCAAATTTGTCAGGTGAGAGGGCCTTCTCTTTATTTATTTGTGAAGAGTCTACATTTATGCCTTCTTGATTGCGCATTTTAGTTTGTTTTCATATGTTGCCCTGTAGAATACTTAAACACCAAAACTTGTGCAGAATGTGAGTTAAAAAACCTACTTCTAAGTTTTGTATTCATTATTTGTTTGTTTTGTTAAAATGTTGGTGGTAGAAATTATGAGTTAAGCACCACCAACAGTCACGGACAAACCCGATGATATTCCTCAGCCCAAGGAAGTCACAATTGAGGATTAGACTACCAAGCCCATCACTGTTGATCCAACAAACCCTAGTAAGGTCACCCATATCGGGACCAACCATCCTTCTCAATAGGAAGTCGAGCTCATTGCTTTCCTCTGAGCAAATAAGGATGTGTTCTCTTGGGAAACAACAGATATGCTTGGGATCCCTAGGGAGGTAATCAAGCACAAATTGGGTCTACCAGCTAGCGCCTGACTAGTTAGACAAAACACAAAGATGCTATACACCCGAGAAGTTAGCCGCCATATGAGATGAAATCAACCGACTACTGAAGGCTGGTTTCGTATGAGAGGTCCCTTTTCTCAGAGTGGCTAGCCAATCCCATCATGGTCAAGAAGCCTAATGGCACATGGCGGATGTGCGTGGACTACACCAATCTAGATAAAGCATGCCCTAAGGATGAATATACCCTTCCGAGGATAGATCAAATTGTAGATTCAACCTCCGGATGTGAATTGCTATGTTCCTAGATGCCTATTCGGGGTATCACCAAATTAGCATGTGCATAGATGATGAGGAAAAAACTACATTTGTAACTCCTTTTGGTGTGTACTGTTATATTAAGATGCCTTTTGGCCTAAAGAATGCCGGTTCTACATATAAAAAATGTGTTCATATTTTTCTTGAAGGCCAGATCGGCCGCAATGTGGAAGCATATATTGATGATATTGTTGTTAAAAGTAAGTTCAAAGGCAATTTGATTGCTGATCTAGAAGAAACTTTTAATAACTTATGTAAGAACAAAATGATGTTGAACCCCAACAAATGTTCTTTTAGCGTTTCCTTGGTTAAGCTACTCGGGTACTTGATGTCTCATCGGGGAATCGAAGCTAACCCAAAAAAGGTCAAGGCTATCAATGACATGCAGTCTCCACGCAACAAGAAAGAAGTCCAGAAGCTAGCTGGCATGATGGTAGCCCTAAGTCAATTCGTATCCAAGTCAGGCAAATGAGGTATGCCATTTTATAAATTATTAAAGAAGCATGATGGTTTTCTTTGTAGTGAGCAGGCCAAAGAAGCATTTCAGGTGTTCAAGCAATACTTGAAACAATTACCTATACTTGTTACTCCCAAAGATGGCAAAACCATGCTCCTTTATATAGCAGCAACTCCAACAGTTGTCAGCGCAGTCCTGGTGGTCGAGTGTCAAGCCAAGAAGTTAGCAAAGCAACACCCTATGTATTTTGTGAGTGAAGTACTACATGATGCCTGATCCAAGTACCCAAATATCCAAAAATTACTCTATGCCATATTGATGTCTTATCGCAAGCTTAAGCATTATTTCTTAAGTCACAAGATCAAACTGGTTTCTTCATACCCACTCGGTACCATTGTTCATAATCGAGACACCGTTGGTAGAATCGCTCAATGGTCAGTTGAGTTAGGCCAATACGATATAGAGTTTGTGCCTAGGACTACGATCAAATCATAGGCTCTAGCAGATTTTGTTGTAGAATGGACAAATCTTGAACCTGAGGAGGCAGCCCAAAACCCCGAGCATTGGCTAATGTTCTATGATGGAGCAAAATGCCATGAGGTACACAATTCAAATTGATTTCAATGATCCTACTCCAACTAACAACATTGCTGAATATGAGGGCCTCTTAACTAGTTTACGAATTGCCGTATCCTAGGGTATTAAACGACTACTTGTGAAAGGGGATTCAGAAGTGTCGGCGTTTTATACCAGTAGATATTCGGTTCTTGGAGGAATTCGCTTTATGCAAAGAGCAAGCACAGTTGGGACATGAGTTTTATCCTAGTTCGGGCCCACGGGAAGCGAGTAACAACCCTATGTCCAGCAGCTACTTGTTTATATTGTGATCTCATTGAGATGGCGAGATGACAGATTACAAAGGTCTATGCCTATGGGAGTTTCGATGATTACAATAGGGTAGATAGCTAGCTATTTATATCCAAGGCCTACTTGCCCTATAAGTTACATGGTCATGCCCTAGTTAGAGTCTTGGCATGATCTTCAGATATCTTGCCTTGAATAGGTGAGTCATGAACCTTCGGGTCTTCCTTGGTACGGATTCAGTAACTAGCATATCTGGTAGTCGGGAATCCTAGGAGTATGGCACCATCAGTAGCCCCCGAGCTTATTGGTCAAGCTAGACTTGGTAACTTTCTTGCACTCAGGCCTTTCAAGGTGTTCGGAATTAGGACTTTATTTCAAAGCATGAATTCCTACCCATGAGGACAAGGTGGGTCAAGTAGAAGTTACAAGGTCACATAGTTGGGCGATGAGTTGTAGAATAAAATAAGCCATACTTAGGAGTTATCTTGTCTTATCAACACGCTCTCCGTCCGAGTTAGGTGGTGGTTGTCAGGCACTCAAGTGGCCACACTGGCTTGACTTTCAAGGATTGCACGTGGCTTGCAATTAATGTGTTGCTTTGGTTTGTGGGCGATGATTGGCTTGCCTTCCCAATTACCCCGGCCTTGGATTTATAAGCAGGCGTCTAAGTGCTGGGTTAGATCCACTTAGCATCTCCACATTCATAGTTATGAGGACTAAGACCGTCGGCCGTCGCCGCAAGATCCCTTGCCTACTGCTCGGGGATTTGCCTAGGTAGTACGCTAGGGCCATGCCGGCGTCTTCTCCCTTGGCGTCGTCGTCTCTAGCCCCGACATCGCCTATAGCTCCATCCATGACCCCATATTTAGCCACGGCGCCTTTGCAAGAAGAGGGCCATGGTGGTGAAGAAGGAGAAGAAGGAAGCCTCTGCGAGCACCGAGTGGATCACCGCCCTAGCCCTTGTGGAGCCAGAATTGAATGCACCACTACGGGGGATCATTGAGCTCTTTGACGATAAGTCAGAAGAGTTGATCGCCTATGTCGCCACCGCCGGTCCCACTGAGGCTAGGCCTTCTGCTCCTTGGGTCACCACCGTGCCTAACACGAGCAGTGACTAGGATTTTGCCCGCAAGCTCGTCGTCGAGCTAAACTAGGAGGCCATCAGAATCCCCAGCGATGGGGCCTTGGTCAACCTGGTGAGTGATGATGAGGTAACCGTGGAGGACAACGTCGGCGAGGGTGAGTAGGAGGTTTCGCCTGGTGACGAGAAGGAGGAGGGCATCGTGGTGGTCGACGGGTCATCGAAGCAGGCCGTTGCGCCTCCCAGTCCTCCACCAAGCGCCTGAGCTTGATGATGATCACCGGGGTCGGGCCCTTTTGACCATGGACCGCAAGGATCTCATCCATGTGGATCAGGATTTGTTTTAGGCCCGACCCAGTGTTTGGTCTAGGAATAATTAGTTAGGGTTTTAGGGATCCCCCTTGTAAATCTGTGTTTCAAGTGAAGTTTATGAATAGAAGAAATATCATTGGTCTATTTTTGAAGTTGAAATGTGTTTACATCATGTGCGTGGAAATAGACCGATGATTTCAGTAACTTGGCTCATTAATGAGTTGTTCCACTTACATTGAGCTGATCGGGTTTTTAGTGTTTGCTCATTTGAATATATGGAAGTGTCTCAATCACATTTTCTTAGAAAGAAAATATCTTTAAATCCAATGTAAATAGAAACTAACTTGGAGATAATTTTGGTTACACAAATTGGGGCACGCTCTGTGGGCACTGAGTGTTTTTTTGGGGATCATGCAGGCCGCATGGTCATTTAACCCCTCGTTTTGCTTCGGTGGCAACCAATGTCACACCTTTTGGCATTTTTGCACCCACCTTCTGCTCTCTTCTCCCACTCGAGTTCTTCATCTTCCTTGCGCCGCCATGACCTCCACTCAACAACAATCTGAGGGTTCGATGAGTGCCTCCAGCCAAACGAGCATCAAGAAGTCACAATCTTCCTAGCCCTCCAAGGTGGTGCAGCCCGACGAATATTGGAAGACATCGACCATGAAGATGAAGGATCTAAAGAAGTTGAGGGAGCAAGGGCTTCTTCCAAATCCGCAAATCTATGAGTGGGTTGCCACTAAAGGTTAGGAACATCCCACCCCTAACACCCATCAAGCTGCGCCATGGCCTCCACTCAACAACAATCTTTGGGGTTTTCTCGTCCAAGTTCCTAGAGTGGATCTATAGACATTATGGGATTGAGCTGGTTCATTTGCTGCCGAACATGGTGGCAATGCTTAGCATTTTTGCTTTTTTTTGTGAGGCATGGCAAGGGACTAAGCCCTATCTAGATTTGTGGCACCATTTTTACTTTGCTACCTATTACCATAAGAATCTAGCCATCGGGTCAGTCAGTTTTTCCCTGAGGAAGGGAAATGTTTATATAACTTTCCTGATCAAGACCTATTGGAAAGGGTATCAAAGAAAATGGTTCTACATCCAACTCCATGAAGAGAGTCTGATCAAAGGTAGGGCGTTGATGCCTATGACCAACGAAACATGGAGATTGATCCCGCCTATCACCAAGATGTAGAGACATATTGCGCGTATCCAGAAACTCCGGACAGCCAGGCTTACCACAGCACACATGGTGGAGACCTTTGTTAGGTGGAGGATTGTTTCCTTGAAGCAGTGGGACTTGGCCTACAGTTACAAAGGGGTCTGTGACCCAAACAAGGAATCAACCGAAAGTTAAAACCTCTATCCGAGTTTGCCACTTGTTTGCGAATTTTTTATTTATGACTTTTTTGTTTCTAAAGTCTATTCTATCATGTTGTGTCAGATGTGCTAGATGAAGAAATTGCTCAGTGAGTAAAGGACATCCTTGATGTTGATTGGCTAGACTAGACTGGTGTCCCATTGTCATACCACATCAAGAATCCTCTGCCTCAGGTAAAGGCAAGATCTTTATTGACTTGCTTCCTTAACAATCTTGATGTTTACTTAATTATGAGATGCCAAGATGTTGTCTCCTTAGGTCCAGTTGTTGGGGGCATGGACATCAGTAGTGATGATGAAGACAACCCCAAGGGGCCGGCGATCTAAAATAGAACCGTCCAATTTATAAGAGCACAAGTACAATAGCAACCACCGAGGCAGTCAAACCGTCATACTTGAGCCCATATAAATCCATAATCCATCGAGTACCATGAAGGATCTCGAATCAACCAACATACAAGCCAAGATCATACATGATTCAACATACAAGTCACATGTTACAATAGGTTCACAAATAGTTCTCATACATCGGAATTTCAATAAAGTTATTACAACCCAAATTTAGATGTAGCGGAAGCAACATAGTTTTGAAACAACATCATGATAGTTCAAATACATAGCCAGTTTAAGATTATCTCCAACAAAAGCACATAGATGAGATGATATAGAATGACCATGCCTTTGGTCTTACACTCCATCAACTGCAGGAGTTATGCAATGCTTGCAGTAACCATGGTACATCACATCATCTGCAACAAATGGGAATAAACCCTAAGAACGATAATATACTCAGCTAGACTTACCCATCATAAACCAAAATAATAAGACACCAAGGAGTATGCAAGGCTTTAAAGGTGGAGCTAGCTTGACAACATTTTGCATAAAAAGCTTAAGTGTATAACTTGAAATATATAATATCTTTAGCTTCAAGTTATCCCTATTCAATTAAGCATCTCTAAATTAGCACCTGTACTAGAGCAAGCACTTGATCAAGCTAAACAAGCATTAGTAACCATATTCGGTGTAGTAATTTGAGCAACCATCATAACCACCAAGTTTCAATTAGTGCTTCTACATTGTTGCTGCTTAGTCAAGTTCTCACTATCCGGGAGAGACGACGATTCGAATCGATTCCTACCTAGCTGGGGAATTTATTCCTAACACAAACCGAGGCACACCCACGCTAAGGTAGCCTCTTAGGTCACCTTTGGTACAATTCAGGTACAACCATGGGTCCGATCAGCGCCGCATCCTTAGAGATTCTACCAATCTATCAGGAAGATTAGGACTCGAACCCACCCTTGGACTCACGCCATTGGCTCTCCACATATCCTTACTAACTCTAGTGTGCGCACATCCACTTATCAAGGCCCAGTCTGAATTGAACTACTCAGCTTCGCAGTCTTATCATCGGATCTGGCCAGCTAAGTGCTATGCATGCGTTCAACATGACATGAGGACGTATAGCGAATCAGTCCTTAATCGACATAAACAGGGATAAATAGGCACCCAAGACCTCCATGCCTTGTTGCTTCTCTATCACGATCTCGCCCGGTCTCCTTTATTCATTGACACATGGTTATTTCCACGCTAGCAAATATAGCCAACCGTGCTTAGTTATTAGCTTATATCATATAGGTGACAGGTAATCAGCTGACTTCTACCAACTAAGCATGGCTAAGCATATATTCGATCTTGGACCTACATAGGATTCAAGATATATATATATGGACAAGGAAGATATATGCAGCAAGTGGTTCCAATCAACTCCTAGTAATTAATGCATCAACATAAAAGGACTCAAGTTGATAGTTTGAAAATATAGGAGGCTTAGAATGCTCCGGGGCTTGCCTTTCACAAAGGTTGAGGGCTGATGATCCGGACACTCGAGCAACTGTTCACCATTAGGCTTGCATTCTCCTAGGGCCTCCTGTTGCTACACTTCCTAATGCTCTTCCTGGGGATCGGCCTCGTACTCCAACACGGTGATTTACTTGCAAAAAGTGAGAATCATGAATCCATAAGAAGGGTCATGGATAACATGACATGATAATGTGCATGGTTAAATGATGACTATCATATTAGGTCATTAGGATGATAACAAAGTTGAATTCTTATTTATTGAGTAGGTGCATATCACCTCTCTAGAAATTTCTAAGACTTCTCACCAAGTCAATTTCTGAACCACAAATAACTGCTACATGTTTTAATCATAACTAGAGTTCTACACATCCAAATCCTATGATCTTAGACTTTCCGGAGAGCTTATGAAATTCCCTACAACTTTTATTTACTCACCATAAGCTAATTCACCTCTATCCTAGTCAAAAATACAATTTCCCAGATCTATCTAGAATTTCCAGAGAGTAAGCACTTCGGGAGAACAACTTCTAACAGCTATAACTCTCAAACCATTTAGCCGATTGCAATGAAAATTTGACACAAGCAAGATAAGTAAGTTATCTACATCTTTGTTATTGACAAGATTCACAGCAAACATCACCTTACCCATGCAATTTTCTTAACAACCAAAACTGTCCAAACAGTCACTAAAATTGGATTATAGAGCAATTAATATTTCACTACATACAAGCAATCAAATTTGGGCACAACCAATGGTACCAACAGTTCATAGGAATCATACACACTCTAGAAAATATGATGGTCAAGCCCAAATAAATTACTTAAAGGCCTTTATTAATTTATTTCGACACTAAGGTGAAATAAGGAAAATATATGAAAAGTGCACAGTAAATTCTGAGAAAATTTCAGTAGCCTACATATGACCCCAAAAGTATACTTTACAAATTTCATGATATTTGGATAAGTATAGCCATCTCTACAAAAATGACAAGTTGCATAGGCTTATTTTAGCAAAAATAGTTTAGCCTAGTGAATTGTGTCAAACAACAGATTTCACATTTTTATTACACTCATACTAGCACCATAACACTATGTAAAAATTTTCATGATCCTTAGTTATGTATTTTTACCCCCATTTATTTTCACTAGAAACTAGCAATTATTTAAGATTAAATAGGAATACCATATTCCAAGTATGCTTACTATAGGTTTAGTATTTTTCTTAGCTAGAGCATGTCAACACAAGATCAGAGAAATTGGAATCACAATTTTATCACTTTCCTAGCTCAAGTAATGCATTTTACAAGATTGAAAACAATTTAAAAGCACTTATCTAGCTCCATTTAATTCTCATAGAAAAACATCCCAAATAGTAGGTTTCCTATTTTTTCAAATAGTACATTTCATGATGAATCCAAAAAAAATTTGTTCACACAAAATGGACATCTACAACTCTACTTATAAATTTTCAAAGTTTGC